AAACTAGGAAATTTATTAAATGCTTATAAATTCAATTAAGATCTGCCACAGGAGTAACAAAACGAAATCAAATAAAGTAAAATCAAGTCTAAATCAAATATAAGCGGAAGAAATAGAGAACTCATAGTCATCATGAAATAGAATGATGCAATAGAAAGACATTCTGCTCTATTTAAAATTTCGATTACTTCCTGAGCTCCGCAAGTAAAATGAATTACCAACAAAGTTCCTTGTTAATTGACTAAATTTTTATGAATTTGCGAGTTTTTGCCCCCTCCTCATTTTTTTGCTTCCTGCACACACAGTTAACTGCAATACACATAAAACGTTCATAAACTGAATAATATATCTCTTAACTAAATTTCCGCACTACGTATCTTTAAGAGAGACTAGATGTATGAAATTGTTACTCCCATTGAAATGAGAATTTGATAAACTGTTAAGTTTTGCTGTCGTTTAGCCTACTATGTTGTTTTTGGTCTATTCAGACTTGAGTTGCTGTTGAACATCGGACAGTGTCTAAAGTCAATTTTTTTCAGAGTTGCGCAACATTTGATATACTAAATACTTTTCGTTAGCACAGACAAAAATTAAAATAACTTGTAATACTGCTATAATGCTATAATAATAATAATACTGCTATAATGCTCATGAAAAACCAATATTATTCCCATATTCACTGTTTTCATTAATGCGAAACATGCTGCGTAAATTATATATGTCATTTTTGTTTGCATTATCTTGCCCAGATGCACACTACCTCATCGCTACATTACTGAAATAAAGAAATAGAATTTCTGTTCATAATGACATAATTCCTGGAAAAAGTACTCAGAGGGCATAATCAGCTCCCCTGGAAAATCCACTTGGAAAAATGACTTTTCTTTGTACAACAGGATTGAGACATTTGGTCAACGATGATTGTTGTTGAATAGCATCATTTATCAATCTTCCTACACTGAAGACAGCGGTATCATCTTTGAACCGCACAAGGGGCTGATGACACCCTTACCGGTGAAAGTGGTTTTTGGGTGTAGACATCCCAATGGTGGTCCCTAATTTCTTTATAGCTAAAGGCGGATCGTTGAGGGTGGCACAGCGTCGTTAAGGGCAGTTGCGCTGACATACACACGTGCCGTTTATTTATATCTTAAGTCAGGCAAAAGAAGCTTGTTTGGTAGCTGCGGAAAACTTGAAAGTGATTTTTGTTTCTTTTTTTGTTCAGGCGTTTAATTACCTTACGTAAGCTTTTCCTTCAGTGTTTAGCATTTCTTCCCCTGGTGCTTGGGAAAATAGTAGATAAAAATATTGCCGTTTATATATTTTTGTTAGCTTTATGAGAATTCATTTAAAGATATATCATAAATATCACGGAAAGTTTTTATGATACATTAATTTTCTTCCCCCTCCCCCGAATTAGTTCTGTTTCCGCAACTCCTCTTTCCGCGTTTTTCAAAATTCTTCCTGTTCCCTCGAAATCAGAGAGTACAGTCCTCCTCCCACAGCTGCTCAGGAGATGTCACGATGAGTCATTAAGAAGAGCTGGGCAGTTTCTTTGTGAATAAGTTAGTCTTCCTTAGATTGTAGTCTAGGCGCCTCTCGAAATCTTTAGTTTCATTCTATTACAATATGGATGTTTTAGACATTATTGAAACTAAAATAATAAAAAAAAAAAAACTTTAGCCCTTCATAAAGATTACGAATATCGAATTCAGAATAGAAAAAAGGAAAATGTAGTTTATTGGATTTGCACAAACGAAAGAATTAAAAGTTGCAAAGGCGCAATTAAAACCAAAGAAGTCGTTTTAGAAGTTCGTTAAAGAATGAATATTTATTTTGAAAGATATTAACTCATCTTTCTGCAGAATTTCAGAAGCATATCATTTTTACTTTAGGATGCGATTTTTAGTTCATTGCCAAAATCATCGCAGAATTTGAACATCTCGCTCTCTCTCCTTTTAAATACAGTATTGGCTTCATTCATGTGAAGATATGAGATCTTCAATATTTTTCGATCAGTTCTTTTAAAAATTATCTTTTTAAATGTAATTTTTTTTTATTACATTTTGGGAGTAGCCAAAGCCCTATTCCACCCCCACTATGTAACCCATTTGAGAAGAGGGTAAAGAAAGGTTGACGATTTCGCGGAAACAGAAACGTTTTTGACAATCGCGGAAACAGGAAGACAACTTTTTTTTCCCCCAGAGAAAATGTATTTAACATTTTAACAAAATTAGTTACTTAAGATGTAATGAATGTGGCTTTTTTTACAGGACAAGTTTAGAAACTGCATGACGTGAATGATCTGATATAAAATTAAGTTAGCCCCTTGATGTCGAAAATCGTGGTACATATATTTCAAAACAGATGTTACGTCGATTACTTCTTAATTATTAGTCTTAGAGAATCATAATTTCAATTCAAAAAGTTTTCATATCATGACTAAAGTTTTGATACATCATGTCACTCGTTCTTCAAGGATTTATCCGCATAAAATAACAACGAAATTAAACTTTTCATACAAGTCTTACAGCAAGAGGTTTTTCTATTTAGTACATTGTTTTCCAACAACGAAACAGTCGAATAATAATAATAAAATTCGATACTGTATTTACTAAGATATCAAGAAAATATACTATTTTTATCACTAAGACTTCAGAGAGCTCTCAGAATGGAAATAATAGAATAATAGTCATGAATTCGATTTTACCCACCTGTTTAATCTTTTAACCCAGTAATCTCAAACTCAAATTGCATGCGGGCCGCAATCTCGATCTAAAAACAACTGGCTAGAATTTTTTTTTTTTTTTTTTTTTTCTTTTCTTTCTTTTTTTCCTTTTTTCTTTTCTTATTTTTTTAATGAAAAAAAATTAAGCAAAATAAAAATATATTTAAATAAATTTTAAGTTTCCCTTATTAAACATGTATTCAAACATAGTATTAACAATAATAATATAATTAAAAACTAAAATAAAGGGGAAAAAAAAAACTAAAATTTAAATTTATTTTCTAACTGAAATTTAAATTTTTTACCTGCAAAACATTTTACTAGTTACACTTTGTAATTTAAGAATACTGACAGCTAAAAATAAAATTCTAAGACTGACATTTCTTCCAAATAATTCTAACTTTTTTAATTAATCGTTAAATAATTGACTTTAATTTGAACTGAAATACATCACTGCTGTTTTACTGCTATCATAAGTCTACCAGGCTCTGCTCTTCATAAAAAAAAATGTGGTAAAAACTATATAATTCCATACTTTTGTATATTTTTTCCCTGCCCGTAATTATTTTAAAATACAAATAATCAATAGACTACAGCATAAATCCAATAAATTTTATTAAATGTTAATAATTATTTGTCCTAGAACTTCGTTTTGGACAAAATATCTGCTTTATGCAGCATTTTGTAGCTTCCTTTCCCCTTTCGTAAAATAAGCACTATGAGGGGATCGTTAGTCCAACAGTTTATATTAGCAGCATAGTTTATATTACACCCATGTCCATAAATTAAGGATAATTCGGAGTCACGCGGAAATCGAACTCTAAAATAAATATATCACCTGTAAAATCACTACACACATCTTCAAGAATCATATGCAAATTTCAGGAAGTAACCAGATGACACCGATGGTACGTCACAATGACGAGAATGTAAGAGAGTGTTATATAAGGAATACAGGCAAAGAAGTAAAATTGTTCGCAGGCGCTTTATAAGCATTTCAGTGCAATAACCGAATAGTTATGACACAAAGGACGCATTTGGATGATTTACGTGGTAGAATTATCGGCCGTCTGGAATCTGGGCGTACCCAACTGGACGTATCAGACGAACATGGAACTGCCCAGAGTGTCATCTCCAGGCTTTGGCAACGATTCCAAGATGATGGTAATGTGAGTAGACGTTACAGCACAGGTCACTCCAGAGTTACAACGCCGAATGAGGACCGGTATTTGGCAGTTACTGCCAAAAGAAACAGGCGGAGCACAGCCTCAGACCTGTCTCGTCAGCTCTCTTCAACCACTGGTACGACAATTTCAACGCAGACCGTCTACAGACGCTTAGGGCAGATTGGTCTATATGCTCGTAGACCTGTCAGATGCGTTCCACTTACTGCAACTCACTGTCGCTTGTGGTTAGCCTGGAGTAGAGAGCATGCATTGTGGACACCGCAACAGTGGGCTTGTGTAATGTTATCCGACGAGTCCAGGTTTAGCTTGCAGTCTGATTCTCGCCGGACTTTCATATGGAGAGCTCCAGGTACCTGTTACCACCATGAAAACATCATTGAACGACACCGTTACGGTGGTGCAGGAGTGCTCGTTTGGAGTGGAATTATTCTAGGTTCCAGAAATGACCTGCATGTTCAAATTGGAACCATGACAAGCCAAATCTATTGGGACTTCATTCTGGAACAACATGTACGTTTGTTTCGGGGTGCCATGGGCACATAATTTGTGTTTATGGATGACAACGCCCGTCCTCACCGTGCAAACATCGTAAGCGAATGCCTTCAATCGGAGGATATCATCCGTATGGACTGGACAGCATTTTCACCGGACTTGAATCCAGTAGAGCACGTGTGGTACATGCTTGGCCGACGAGTTGCAGCCCGTCAACCTCATCCTACATTTTCTACCGGAACTTCGGAGAACATTGCTTTTTGAGTGGTGTAATATCCCCCAAGATCAGATCGTTAATTTGATACTCAGCATGCCTAGGGGTTGTACGGACTGTATTGCATCGTCTGGGAGACATATAATGTATTAACAGTCATGCTAACCATGTAATATTGGTTTTTTGTAAATAGGATTTTTTGTAATTTGCTCCAGGGAGAAAAAATTCGCTAAATTTTTTAATAATATCAAACATATAGCATCTTTTTTTGCTCTTTACCTTTTGTTTAATAAATAAGCTTTACAAATAAGTCAAATTTGTTTTGCTTCTAACTCTTCCTCTGCCTGATTTTGCATTATCCTTAATTTATGGACATGAGTGTAAATGATTGGTTACAACGCTAGCTTTATTGAAATAAATTATGCGGTTGTCCTGTATGAAGGCATTACAGCGACATGGTAAGAGCAACAAATAAGTTGCTACAAATTCAACGAATAGCTAAACACATAATTAAAGCTTTTAATACTACACCAATAACTGCTCTTCAAGTTCTTGCCGGAGCTCTTCCACTAGATATTAAAGCAGAATAGGAATCAAAGTTATTCCGTTTCTTTCACTTTCAAAAGGACTGCATTGTGGGTGAATTGAATATACCAAGTTGTATACTGGAAGGAGAAACAAAAACCCAACTCAATCCATGGCAATCATATGCGGCATATGCATGTTCTCAAAGAACAGAGAATAGAAATTTTTACAGATGGATCAAAAATCCAAGATAAAGTTGGAGATGCATGTATAGTTCACGAAGGTAAACAATTGATAATATGTAAAAATTTAGACTAAATGATTCAAACACAGTTTACCAAACCGAAGCAATAGCTTTGAAGGAAGCCTTTTTATGGCTTTTTAACCTTTCTCAAAGTCACAAAATACGAGCATTTATTTATACAGATATATATTTAAGTATTTTAAAGGCGTTTTGTTCCAAGAAGAAAACGTCTTTGCTTATTCGAATTCTTCAAGAAACAATAGATATGTAGCTTAAATTGGATACGGGGACATACATGTATAACAGGGAATGAAGCTGCTGATACAGCAGTTAAGGAAGCCACATTTTAAAAGCTATGATCAGTACCCATCTTCCTATTACAAGACTTACAAGTCACGAATAAAAATTTTATACACGTTTTAGTTAAAGTTGCAAGGAAGATGAACGAGGCAGATACAGGAAGATTAACTCACGAATACTTCCCAGAAGTATCCTTAAAATGAATAAAAACAAATTTCCTGCTAATACAATTAGCGACAAATCATAGAAAGTTTCCATCTTATTTCCAGCGATTCTTAAGAAATTTAAGATATGGGTATGGACCACCAGCATATCTAGGCATCTTATATATGCAATGTCCATTACTTTCAATTATTATAGCACAGCATTTACAAGGATTTGAAACAAATTTCCGGTGAAAGATCTATTGTACAATACAAAACGTGTGTCTGCATTTCAGTAAATTATGAAATATATTACTAAAAACGAAGAGGCTGTGATTATAAAGAATTAATCCTAATACATGAGTGAATTAACAAGTATTAAGAGTAAGTAAAGGTTATAACATGTCCTGTCTACATTCATAAAGAGCAAGAGAACAAGAGAAAATAATATCAAGTCTTCTTTCCATCTATGTATGTTGCGCATGTTTTCCTTCCTTACTCTATTATTTTATTTTTTTATATGTTTAACAAAGAACCAGTGGATCTCGTTGACGAGACTAATCAAATTTCCACTCCAGCACGGTTAATCAATGCTGATAAGAAGTAGTGTAGCGTTTTGTCAACTTAACTAACTTCTTTATTTGAATTTTGTATATTTCTAAAGAATTATGAGATAATTAATACAAGTTATTTTCTTAGTTTAAATTAAAAATAAAATCTTATCAAACTTTGAGCCAATCTATTTCTCTCTGGAAGTAGAAATGATGTTAAAAAAGTTTGTATTTATTTTTAGCTTCGTTGTCGTCTTCTTCGATTTTTCTCCGGTAAATAATATTGCATGCACCTTACGATACTTCAGTGTAATTCATAATCTTCATGAAGGAATGTGCAGAGACTTTGTGAGAAGTGGATCTCACGGGGAAGAGGTGGGGGTGATCGTGATTTCAACTCGACGCTCTTATCGGGGACATAGGCGCTTGTTGATAGGAAATTAAGCGAGATATCCTTTTGTTCCCGGGGCTAAGTGCGAGACTTAATGTCATAAAAACGTTACGAAAAACAAGCCAAAAACATGGGTTTCTCGAGACGCAAATCTGCTGAAAGATTTATTGCCCAGCAAATAAATGTATCTTGTTCAAACAGGAGGGCAGAGTTGCGCATTCAGTACCAAAACTGCCGACAGAGATAAGCAGCATCCGATGGGGATGAAATTTTTGCGTTACGCTTGACCCCTTTATACCTGCGCATTCTCGTTGCTAGGTGGAGAAAAACCTATTAATAATTATTATGAAGAAAAATTCGTATGCGTCGGACATTCACTGATTGCTGTATCTAGACATGTTGCATGATTAGTCTGTAGTGAAGTACATAATATATATTGTTAGAAACATCTTGCATTAATTATAATGTCAATACAAATGTTCATAAAATTATTAACTACATCAGTTAGGTTTATAAGTGAAATATCAGTTAAATCTATTAGCATTATAAACTATATCAATTAGATATATCATTAAAAACAAAGTATAAATATTAAGAAATATATTTATTACTTTTAAATCACTCATTTCGTCAAGCAGCTGCATTAATAATTTGAGAGATTAAGTTAGATTATATTCAGCAACTTATTATTTGCCAGGCTACGTGGAAGATAAATGAAAGAATTTACGTATAGCAGTACTGCACCTCACATGGCTGAGATATGCATTGGTAGCTTAAAGTAACAGCTCCCAAGACTGAAAACTTCTATAGCAATTTTAACATTGCAACCAAAGATTTCAGAACTCTCGACTTATATATATATATAAATAATGAAAATATATATTCTTTTATATATGTATTTTCGCACTAAGTGAATTTAAGATCATACAACATGTATACATACATACATACACACAATTACCTGTGTTAGAAGCAACTGCAGAGTTTAAGTACACTTTGCGTGTTCCTGGGTTCACATATTCTCTTGATTAAAATTATTCCCTTTAACGAGTTTCGTTTAATTGTTTTGTTCTACAGAAAAACACCTGAGCGTATTACTATATTTAAAAAATTCTATCATTAAATTAACGATACGTACTCGAATTTGAAAATATGCATGAATTTACAGAGCATTTGAACATTGATTCCAAGAATACTTCAATACAAAAAAAATTAACTCTTTCAATGAATGTTCCAATGAATGTTGAATGTGCTAATCTCGACAGAGCTTCTGAAAGACAGAAAGAGAAACAATCAAGAATTTCGTTTCAAATAACGAGAAGCTGATAATATTCAGAGAATGTATTTCTCTTGCATATTTTTATGACCAATAATGATCACTTTTTATGTAGTGATGGTTTTACGACCTCAACAGGTATAAAGAAGTAAGAAGTTAGAGATAATAAAATGGAAATTAAAATATTATGAAAGGTTATTTATTTCCTTACAGAGCTTTCTTGCTTATGGAAGTTTTATGCCAAGAAATTAAATAAACTTTTTCGGTTATTTCTCCTTTTATACAGAGACCCGTTCATTATTTTTGGGCATTTGCCATTATTTTTATTATTCCAGGGCATTGTATTTTATCATTTTTACAAGTTTGAAGAATAAACAAATGATAATTGCATTACTTCCACAGTAATAAAAATCACGAAATCAGCATTATCGTTAGAGAATGTAAAAATAAAGTCTGCGAATTAATAATCTTATAACCCGTTTTTAAGTATCAGTTTTAATTATGAGGAATTATTTCAAAACGAGGTGTTTGCTTAGTGGACATAATAATACCTGACTTCATGTTTAATAAAAATGATGGTAGACTGCACTGAGGATCAACTCCATGCTGTTCTGTGCAATATATCACTGATTTATAACTTATTTCAATGCCATTTTTGTATATGTATCATATGATATGAAACATAATTCATTCTATATTGTTTAGCATTTTTCTTTCCGTGTTCACTAAATTTTTGTTTAATGGAAATTTAAAATCGCTTATGTAAAATATTCATGACGTCAGGATGATAAATTGGCTTAGTTTGGCTTACTTAATAATGGCAAACCACTCAAAGGCTATTTGCCTAAGAGAAGGAATGCCTTCATGGAAGACTTTCTAAGAGAAAAAGGAGCGTGTACACGTTACATATCGGGAAAAATCACAAAACGCCCTTGCAGCCAGCCTGTTCCCCCGACATTCGAGTTCCGGACCGAACTACCAGTGTTCAGCGAATTTACCAGCCCACCAGCGGCCGAGCGGTAATGTCGCTGAACACTGGTAGTTCGGTCCGAGGTTCGAATCCCGCGAACGGGCTGGCTGCATGGGTGTTTTCGTAGTTTTCCCCATGTGTAACGTGTATACGAGTCAGTTTCCCTTAGAAAGTCCTCCACGAAAGGCATCCCTCCACTTAGGCAGATAGCCCTAGTGTGCTTTGCCATAATTAAATACACCACACACACCAGCGAATTTACCGCTCTGCTGCTTGTCCAAGAAGATAAATAACCAATATATTTCAAATTAGGTGCCTCGTTTAGACAGATAAAATACATTTTTCTTTAAATCGATGTCTTTTTGGTTAAAATTTCCCTTTGTAATATCCTCCACAAAGATCTAGGGAAATGGAAAGCATGTGTCCTCAGTTATCTAAGAGATTGTACTCAAACGTGATCAGCATGACTCATAAGCTCACTGAATTTCTTTTAAAATTTGTTTCTTTAAACATTTTTTACAGGAACACCTGATTATACATTTAATTTCAGTGAAGCATCTTAACAAAAACGTCAATCAACATATATCTGGGCATGTCAGATGCGTAGAATGCAAGTTGCACATACACGTGTAAAACAAAATGCATGTTACCAGCTGTCAAACTAAAAATCATAAATACAAGTGCACTTTGCACAGAAAATATTTTTCATTGAGTAATGGGCGTTAGGAAGTATTTTCCCAAGACTCCATCCATTCGGATCCCTCGTGAGGGATGTTTTCTACTCATATCTTCAACTACGTTGATGCCTTCCCTTTCGATTTTTCTCTAGTGGTAATCCCCTTCACGAATTCCAGAAAGGTGCAGCTCTTAAACACTAACATTCAGCGGGATTGATCACAGAATCATTAATTTCCCATTTTAAAGAGTGACTGGAAAAAAAATTAGCGACGAAAAGTGAAACATATGATGCGTGTAACGTTACATTTCCTGAATACGGGCAATTAAACACTTCCCTTTAAAAAAAGCGTTCTTTAGCCTTTTATTGGGAAAGCAAGCCGATTTTGCTGTGGTTTAAAAATTCTTAACAGGGAATTAAGACGATAAGAATTAAGTTTTCTTTGGTATTGATTTAAACATATAATAAGTTCGTTTGAGTTCAATTTTTAAAGTTTAGTTAAACATATAATAAGTCAAATTTTTTTAAAGTTTAGTTTTAAATTAAATTAAATTAAATTAAATTAAAGGTCGAATCACATCTGAAACCC